AATTCTAAGACATCATCTCCACAGGTGGTGGAGGATATTGGCACAGATTGACTCACAGAAATCAATGAAAAGTTTATCATATATTGTAATGATATCTTATAGTTCAGAAATTATCAAAGTTCAATATGCCAATCAGTCAAAGAGGGAGCCTCAAATGCTGGGCTATATTGCTATTTTTTATATCTAGTCACAGTTTTACCTTTTGATGACTCATTTCCACGAACGGAATGGCGACGAATCGAACGTCATGGACATTGGGGTCTTCGTATTTATTAGTTGATAATTGCATCATTCCTCATTTTTAATCATTTTTTTGATATAATTAGTCAACACAATCCTTCGGAACCGGCGATAATAATCCAAAAATGTCACGTCCATTAATTGATATTCCACCAAAAAATGAAACGAACAAGCTCAACACTACTCCACGAATTGAATAAAACCACAGATGAGATATCGAAAAGGGTCTACTTGAACAAGAGTCAAACCGTGATTAAAGCGTTATAGAATGCAAAAATCAAGCATGAAACCTCATGATCCATGAAGACAAAGCCCTAGTATTGGACGATACAGTTCAGGATCCTGGAGTTTCGTGATGAAGCTTCGTGGGAAAGCGGCACCATGCTCTTATCAGTGAGGCCCATGGGCTTCTAAGGCCTTTTCGAAACCTGAAGCTGACCTGTATCAACGGAGGATCCAACGGAGTGGCAGATCGGGTTGTCAAGGCCCGAAGAAGAATTTCCCGACCGAGCAATTGGATATCCTTTCCTACTGTCCTCGAGCCCTTTGGGAACTACTTTGTTCCGAAGCGAATGTTTTGTATCCACAAACTTCTTTCAAGTGAGTGAAAATGGTAGTTCCTGACTCAAAAAGAGAGAGAGTAATCGACAGTTAATATGCTATAACTTGGGGCTCCATTTATACTTTCAAAGTACTTTCGTTCAGTCGAAGAGTGTGTGTATCCACGTCAGCATTAGCCATCCTATGTGGTACGGCCATTGTCTGCGTAAGCGAATTCCGATCAAAATTGATTGAATGGACTCAATTGGTAAAATGTGAACAAATTTAGGACTCAATTGGCAAAATTGAAAAGTATAAGACTGAATTGGCAAAAATGTAATAGATTTAGGATTTTTTGGATAACTTTTCCTCTGTGAAACAAACGGAGAAGGTTGAATTATATTTTGTCCCCCGAAAATGCTAATAATAGAATATGTTAAAATGAGACGGGGTTGAAAATGTGAGTTTTTTTTTTTTATTTATGATAGCTAATGTAGCTAATTTTCTTGAATGTGAGAAATTACCTAGAACATCGTGCATCGTGCAAAATATGGAAGCTTGGACGGTTAGGTCAATTTTCAATTTGGGAAAAAGAATTGACTCATAAATTATGTCTGGACTTATAATGATCTGTTGCTGCACGTGCAAGATTTATATAAATGAAAGATTAATAGATTAATATTAGGTGAACGGAACTAGCGGAACCAACTCTCATATTTTCTTCATTCGATTATCACGACTCCAGTTTGTCATTTTCCGTCTATCGTTATATAATAATATCGATGCGTTCAAACCCTCTATCTGCTTACTCGAGTTAGGGGAACATTCTTACGGCAATTTGACGAGGTGAGAGACAACCACAGATCAAGATAATACGAAACTTGAAATTCAAAGAAGGAAGTATTGGCTCCATCTTTTGCAAGTCAAACTCACTAAAACGAATAAGGGAAAATGATGTGCAGAAACTCAGATGCATGAGGTATCCATTAGAGGTTTGACGAGAGCACAGAGCGATTTCACACGAGAAACAAACACGGGGAGTGGCGACGAAAAACACGTTTGTTGGGGTCAAATTTGAGCAGAAACCTAGGTCCTATGTTATACGCACGATGACGAAGGTTGTTGCAATAGTTTTTGTGGCACGCGAGCTTCCCGGAAGGAGAAGAAAAATAATGTGATTGCTAATTCTTTCTGGTTCAGTAGACTAAGTGCTAACTGGGGCAGATTAATCACATTTTTAAATCAGGTGATCAGGGTGAGTCTATACTGTTGAAACCTATCAATTCTTGGATTGGTTCTAAACAATGCATTAGCATAGTTCAAGAAAAATACATCTTATCAGGATATGCAATGTCAATTTTGGTAGATCTAGATCATGCATAAATAAGTCTTTATTGGGTTAACTGATATATGATCTAACCACATGTAGAAATTAAATTACACGATAAGAGAATTACGTTAATTAGAGTACATATATGGGTAAAGATCATTAGAGGTTAGCTCAGATGCCATGCTCACATGGTAGTTTTACCCGGTAATTGTTTTTTTATAGTCATTTTAGCAGATCTCTAATTTCGGATCTCTAATTTTTATGAATAGCCTAGGAATAAATCTCTAATTGATTTCTATACATGTTTTGGTAACAAATCTCTAAGGTAAATTGCAGGGCTCGGATCCAAATCTTCACATGAATAAAGGTCGAGAAATTGAATGATGTGAATATTTTATTCCGTAGTAATTTTATCCGTACTGGTTTGCTTGCGAAAATTCACGTTGACAACAACATGGAGTAATACAACAAATATAGCTTTAGACTCGTGCAACGCACGGACATCTTGCTAGTAAATAATAAAACCGGGTTACTAAATCGTTACGATGGGCGCAAAAAAATAACAAAAGGAAAATTGAGAGGTAGATATGGATACAGCTGTTTTAAGAATAATATATGAATTCACATGTCTTTTTGATGTTGCTTATTTCTTGGTTAGCTTTTTCTTTTATGGGATTACATTGCTCCTACCGCGTGGTGGAATACCGAGTAAACTGCAAACATTTTAATATATGATCTTCTTAGCATTGTTAAACCATAATTTAGGGTTACCTCCGAGCAAAATCGTCGGTGGGAAAACCAAATAAAAAATTATGGATGATTATTCCAGTCGACCTTCCAGGAAAATGATGGCATTGACCAAGACTTACAGAAGCCATTCCCCGTGTATGAATTCTGGACCATTTCTTCGTGGACCATCACAATACATCTCTTTACACAAATCACACAGAGAAAGAGAAACTTCAGCAATCAGTAAATCAACAATGGGACACGGACATCATCACGGCGGCCACCACGGCCATCATCATGGCCATCATGGTCACGGCCATGGCCACGGCCATGGTCACGGTCACGGTCACGGTCATGGTGGTCATCATGGTCATGGAGGCCACGGCCACTGCCCACCGCCATCATGCCCACCACAACCATATTACCTGCGGCCGCCGTGCCCGCCGCAACCATATTGCCTGCCACCACCTCCACCGCCCCCTCCTCCTCCGGTGTATTACCCGATATGCGTGCCACGTCCTGTATGTGTCCTCCCTACTACATCTGTCACTGTTAGCGGATTCGACTGGTTCACATGATTCCACGCTGCTACTTCTCTAAAGGGGGTGTTACTGAATGAAGCTCTCATCATCTGTGCCTGCTGTTGTGTAATTGCAATCTACAAAGAGTGTCATGTGTGTGCAAAACAAGTCTACTATGTGTCATGTGTGCTCATAGTAAAGACCCAATTCTTCTGCCAAACTTCTTGTTACTGGGTCAGAGCACAAGTGTCCTTGTGTATCACGGCTAACAACTATCACCTCATTGTAGTTTTGTGTTCCTGGATATTGCATTAAGGGATTTCAATTCCTCTTTTTCGGTTGGTTCAAGAAATGGATGGATCTTAATTATGTATATAACGTTGTGATCTTGCAATAGATGTGCGTAGTCATGTTTTCCATTTCTGATTTTTCCCTCACAAGCTGTTGAGAAAACCCTAATCAACAATTCCTTTTTTCCAGATAAAATGGATAGCAATTCTAGCGCCTAGAGTGTTATATCTCTTGACCAGTTAGATCAATGTCCTTCCTCAAAAAGTAGAAGAGCATTTGATAGGCAATTCGAAGACTCATAAAAGTACAAATTTATTTTGATTCAACTATAGAAGTATATTTTTCAAGTAATATATAGCTTACACCTATTGCTTACACACCAAATTGAATCCAAGAAAACTGAACTAAATTGTTTAGCTGAGGATGACAAGTGAAGAATCAAGATAAGCAAATTTAATTCTCATCACAAAGGGCCTTTGGAGCAAGAGAGATGCACATTATACAACTAAACTAAATGACAGTTTTTTTTAATCATAAAAGTCCATAAGTTTACTGGTCAAACGGATGGTTGAACCACGTCATTAATGGAAACCTTATAATATTTTTCCAACGTAGAATGGGGTTAACCGTGTCAAGAATTGGCTTCATGAATGCCGAGTGAGAAGGCTGTCCTTTTGCGCGCTTAGAATTGCATAATGTGCAGCACAAATTAGGATTCGATCCTGTGGAAATAGGGACTTTACATCACTCTCCTCAAAGACTTCTCTGTCAAACACCCTGGATTTCAAGTAGTAGTGGGACTCAATTCCGAAATAGGGACTGACCGAGTCAGGCAAGTCACCAAGGAAGCCTATAAAAGGAAAAAATTTCCGAAGTCTTCAAGGAACCAACAATTCGTCCAGTCAGCTTTCAGGAAGGTGAGTTTTCACAACCTTTTTAAGCATCACTCATTGGCTCGGGAAAAGAAAAACCAACTTACCAGAACCAAAAGAGAAGAAGAAGAAGATATGGATTCTTCATTAGGATTCAAGAGGGTCATGACCCTTGTGGCTGCCCTTGCCCTTTTCACCATCTCTGTCACTCCACTTCCGGCTCCTGCTTCCCCTGCCGAAGCTCAAGCCCTCCTCAAGTGGAAATCCAGTCTTGGCAACCGTTAGGTTTCTTCCCTCTCTTCGTGGACTCCCTCTCCTCGCAAGGCCACCAGTTCCAATTTGACTGTGAGTTCATGTGCTTGGTATGGCATCTCCTGCAATCAGGCCGGGAGTGTGATTTGGATAAATCTTACCAGTGCCGATGTGGAAGGTATGCTTGACGAATTCCCATTCTCATCTTTGTCTCATCTCATGTACATGGACCTGAGTGTAAATAGTCTCTCCGGCCACATTCCACCTCAAATCGGTTTTTTGAGCAATCTCACCTATCTCGACCTCTCTATCAATCGGTTCTCGAGGATAATATCACCAGAGATCGGCCATCTAACGAAACTGGAGGTCCTACACCTGTATTTCAATGAGTTAAATGGCTCCATTCCCCTAGAAATTGGGCAATTGCACTTGCTCAATGAGGTCACGCTGTATTTAACTCAGTTGCATGGATCTATCCCTTCCTCATTGGGTAATTTGAGCAAATTAGCTAGACTGTATGTCTACAACAACTCTCTTTCTGGTTCTATACCTCCCGAGATGGGAAATATGATAAATTTGGAAGTGCTCCACATGGACGCTAACTTCTTGACAGGACCAATTCCTTCGACTCTGGGGAACTTGACCAGATTGAGAGAGTTGCACCTATTTGCTAATAAGCTTAACGGTTCCATCCCCCTAGAGTTAGGGAATTTGAAGCTTCTTAGCTCATTGAGCCTTTACAATAATAATCTTACTGGTTCAATCCCGCCGACGTTAGGCAATTTGACGGAGCTTACCCTTCTTTCACTCTATGATAACCAGCTTTCGGGTCACATTCCTGATGAGATGGGAAATCTCCGCGCTATGCAGGACTTAAAGCTGAGTGGAAATCAGCTCACTGGCCCAATTCCTTTTTCTTTGGGTAACTTGACTGACCTAGTTCTTTTGCGCCTCCATCTCAATCACCTTTCTGGTTTGACTCCTAGATCCTTAGGGGATCTAATGAACTTGGAGGTGCTGCTATTGAGTTACAACCAGCTTTCTGGTAGCATTCCTTATGAGTTAGGAAATATTCAAGCTATGGTCCTGTTACATCTGAGTGCAAATAAGCTCACTGGTCCAATTCCTTTTTCTTTCGATAATTTGACAAACCTCGTCTATTTACGCCTCAGTGAGAATCAACTTTCAGGGAAGATCTCTGTATCAATTTGCAATGCCACCGGCCTTTCACTCCTGATCTTGCTAATAATAGCTTAACTGGTAGCTTAACCTAGTGCTTATCATACTTGAGCATTTGTCTATCAGTTTTAAACTTGCAAATGAATAGTCTTTTGGGCACAATCCCTCCAACATTTTCACCACGAAGTAGCTTGAGAAATCTTGACTTCAGTCAAAATCAATTCGAAGGCACATTGCCACATTCCCTGGTCAATTGTAAAAACCTGGAAGTCCTAGACTTGAGCAATAATAAGATAGAGGATAAGTTCCCAGAATGGCTAGGAAGCCTGCCAGAGTTAAAGGTTCTTAATCTGAGGTCCAACAATTTTAAGGGTCATTTAGATTTTCCAAGGGTAACTCATCTCTTTTTGAAGTTGCACATTTTGGATCTCTCAAACAACGACTTTGCTGGTCCTTTACCAGCCAATCTGATAGCGAAACTTCAAGGGATGATGAATGGACAAAATGGGCAAAAGCCGTAAGACAAATCATTGTACATGAGGCAGCAAGCTGGAAAGGAATTCTATGAAGCTTCTGTGAATGTGATCATGAAAGGAAAGGAGATTCGGCTAGAGAGGATCTTGACCATTTTCACAACCATCGACTTATCGCTCAACTCTTTTCAAGGGAACATCCCGAGTGTTATTGGAAATCTTCATTCTCTCATAAGGCTCAACCTTTCCCACAACCACCCCACGGGTTTCATTCCTTTAGCCCTTGGAAATTTGACTAACCTTGAATAGCTGGATTTATCTTCAAACAAGCTTAGTGGGAGTGTTCCTAGAGAACTGGGAGATTTGTCATTCCTTGAGAATTTGGACCTCTCAAATAACCAACTCACGGGCCCTATACCTCAAGACAAGCAACTAAGCACATTCACAAGCGACTCATTTCATGGAAACCTAGGCTTATGTGGAACTCCATTACGAAATACATGCCCTGGTGATGCTCAGCCTCCATTGCCACCACCTTCATTCTTCCAAGAGGATAGTACAAGAGAGCATGGTAGCGGTTGATAGGATAGCAGTCGGGATAGGCTATGCATCTGGAATCGTGATTGGAATCTCCATAGCGTACATTTCATGTGAAACTGGAAGACCCAAATGGCTTGTGGGAAAAGTGAGAAGCATGGAGAGAAGAGCCAAATTGATGAAGAAGCCAAAACAGAAGGCCATCCAATTTCATGGAGACCAATGAAATTGTTGGGAAGTGGTCCCTTTGAACTATGTGCAATATAGATCAAGGAATACAATTTTTGTCAGATTGCAATGCAATTTCGCATATGGATACTCATTTTTACCATGTTGCCATTTTCTTCTTTAAGTGCGATTTCTAAATCGAGTCGAATGAATAGATGAACATGAAAGAGATCTTCCAAAAAACTCGCTTTGCATCATTAACACCCTATGTGTCCTTTTCTTGTTTAGTGTATGCAATTCTTATTTCTTCTTGGGAAAGAAAAAAAGATGAAGAGCTGTCGAAGCCCATTTTGCCCGGGATTACATGATTGAACGTGTCATTGAAATGTCTTTAATGATTTCTAAATTTGTCATTGTCCCACTACACATTTCTGTTGAAGTTGCAGCTCAGTATTAGATCGTTGACTTGCAGTCTTGCACCTATCATACTTGTCTGCAATAGTAAACAGGGGTACTCCAGGTTCAAACCTCAAAGCATCTTCGAAGTTTAGATTCAAAGTAATCTTATTGCAAAATTCTAGGATCCGCTAGGCTAAAAAACTGAAATTTTTTCATCTTCGTGGTTTTTTTGAAGTTGCTGGTAATTTTTAAATACTTTTTGCAAAAAATATAACTGGTAACTTGCTTATAAGTTAACTTATCAATAAGTTACCAACATGATAATGAATTTATCAAGTTTCATAGATAATTAGTAAGTAACATTGTCTAAATTTTATGGTTACTATCACAAAAAAATATCAAAATTGGTATGCCCATGCCACAATTAACCAAACTAATTTTTGTGGCACAAAAAATACCAAATTGTTACACTCGTGCCACATTCACCTCAAATTAATTTTCATATCATAAAAAAAATCTCAAACTAGTATGCTCATGTCACATTTATCAGAAACTAATTTTCGAGTCATAAAAAAATATGACTTTTAGCAGATTTTCGAAACTTGAGGGAGCTCTCAAGGCAAAAATAGTAGATTTTAGCAAATTTCCCAATAAATTTTATTTAGTGATTTGGGATTTTTTTGTGATACAAATTAGTTTTGTGTTACTAGTATACTAGTTTAGTTTTTTTTTTGTAACACAAAAATTAATGGGATATGTTTACTAGAAGTCTTAAAACTTGTTGCGAAAGTGCAATTTGATCCTAAAACTTACAAAAAGTGCAATCGAGTCCTAAAACTTGTCAAATTGATTCAATCAAGTCCTAAAGTTAACACCGTCAATTTGTCTAACGGAAAATGCTGACGTGGCATTTTAAAATGAATTTCTCTCTCCTACGTGGCATTTATATATATTTTATTCAAATCTTATTTAAATTAAATTAAAAAACTAAAAATTTAAAAAAAAACAAAACAAAACTAGAAAAAAGAAGAAGAGAGAAGCAGCTTCGCCGGAGGGGGGCCGGCGGAGGTCGTCGGAGGGGCTGACTGAGGTCGTCTGCCCTGGTCGAGGGTGGCCAGTCCTCGCTGCCCCTGCTAGCTCTGGGCGGGGACTTGCCGGCCCCGAGCGTCGGCCGGCCACCCTCGTTATGCCCGGGCGAGGGCACCCAGATCTAGGCAATGCTGGCCCTCGCCTGGGGCCGGCGACCATCGCTTGCCCAGATCTGGGTGACGCCTGGCCTTTGCTTGAGGTTGGCGAGCCTTGCCAACCCCTGGCGAGGGACGGCGACCCTCACTAGGCCCGGGCAAGGGTCGGCGTTGCCTAGATCTGGGTGCCCTCACCCGGGGCCAGTGAGGCCTCGCCCGGGGCCGGCAACCTCCGCCGGTCCCCCTCCGGCGGTGGGCGGCGGCTACAACTCCCAACTTAGCCTTAGTTTTTTCTTTCAGTTTTGTTTTTTTTAAGTAATTTTTAGATTTTTAATTCAATTTATATAAGATTTGAATAAAATAATAATAATAAATGCCACATAGGAGAGAGAAATTCATTTTAAAATGCCACGTCACCATTTTCTATTATACAAATTGACGGTGTTAATTTTAGGACTTGATTGAACCAATTTGATAAGTTTTAGGACTCGATTGCACTTTTTGTAAGTTTTGGGACTCAATTGCACTTTCCTGACAAGTTTTAAGACTTCTAATGAATATATCTCAAAATTAATTTAAGGTAAATGTGGGTATATCAATTTGAAACTTTTTGTGACACGAAAATTAGTTTAGGGTAAATATAACATGAGTGTACCTGTCGGAACTCTCCCAGTGGGGCGAAGTCGAGTAGATGGGTTTAGAGGTAATGTTGAGTTGAAAACCAACAATCCTCAATTGGCGCATTGACATTGGAAAATTAAAGTTAAAATAGATTTATTTATGAAGTCCAACCTAACTAAAAGTCGCTCCTAGCTAACCACTAGCCTTGTGGCTGGCTAAGAGTTAAGTGAAGTATGTGTGGTACCTAACTTTTACGCAACCACATATTTGAGATCGGACGTAATTGCACTAATTCTCTAACTAGTGCCCTTTTTCTGAAGAAAAAAAAAATTGACGTCGATTGCTCTTTTTTGCGATCGTTAGATTCTTTAATCAAAGCAATGCAATGCTACCTACTATTTAATTTATCACCAGAAATGATAAATGCAATAAACTAAAGTTAAACAAACGCAAAGTTTATAAATAAAGGAAAGGTATATGTTTACTAGAAGTCTTAAAACTTATCACGAAAGAGCAATTGGGTCATAAAACTTGCAAAAAGTGCAATTAAGTTCTAAAACTTATTAAATTGGTTCAATCGTGTCCTAAAGTTAATACCGTCCAATTTGACTAACGAAAAATGCTGACATGAATTTTTATTATTTTTTCTATCATACGGAGCAATGACGGGACTTTTTTATAATTAGTTTAATACTACTTTTATTTAAATTAAATTTTAAAAATAAGCTAAAATTGCGGTGGCGGCGAGGGCTTGCAACCCTTCTCGCCTATCCTCCTCTTTTTTTTTTTTAAAACTTATTTTTATAATTTTATTTAAATAAAATTAGTATTGAAAATCAAATTTGGACAAAAACGATGTCGTTTTAGTCTTACGTTTCATACTTTAGCGACGTCATCGCCACGTAGGAGAGAGAAAATATTAAACTAAGCCACATCAATGCCACGTCAGCATTTTCTGTTAATAAGTTTGACAGTGTTAACTTTAGGACTCGATTGAACTGATTTAACAAGTTTTTGGTCTTGATTGCATTTTTTGAAAGTTTTATGACTCAATTGCACTTTGGTGACAAGTTTTAAGACTTAAGGAAAATAAGTTATTTCTAGCAAAAAAAAGGAAAATAAGTTCTTATTATGTGTAGATTTCAATGGTGGTCATTAAACTTTGACATAATCAAAAGTTTACACTTCATAATCCAACAACAATATCATTATCCCGGAATAACGTGCGGGACAATCTCTATTGGAACCACCGAGAGCACTTCAAAATTCCCACAAATAATCACGGCCACTCTATTTAAATGGTAAGTTAGAACGGAATTAAAGAGCAGACCTCCACAATCACGTTATGATCTGTCAAAACGGCTCAAACAAGCGGGCCCAGCTCATTTTTTTTAGATTTTAGCTAACCCAACTCGGCCAATTAAAGAGCAGGTCGTTAATCCATTTCGACACCTCTCCCTCTGCTCGAACATGATCATCGGCTATCATTTCTGCAAGAACGGGTCAACCACGTCAAGATTTGGCTTTCGTGAATGCCGAGTGAGACGACTTCCCTTTTGCGCTTTGAATTGCAAAATGTGTGGCACGGATTAGGATTTGCTCGTGTGGAAAGTTAAGAGTGTTCGCACACAACAAGAAAGACCTTGACTTTACATCACTTTCCTCAAAGACTTCCCTGTCAAAGTCTCCGGATTTCCCTGCTAAAAAAAAAAAAGGCCTCTGGATTTCATTTGGGGGGTGGGACTCAATTCCGAAAGTGGGACTGACCGAGTCAGAACGTACCTTTTCATAGTCTTCACTTGTTAGTTGTCGTTCTTGCATTCCCATTATCATGGAAAATGATGGGAAGTCGAGAGTTCTCATAACCTTTTTAAGCATCGCTCGTTGCCTCGGGAAAAGAAAAACAGAAAACTAACCACATAGTAACATGCCATCAATAGCAATCAGAATGATCATCAAATGACCTTGAGATTAATTCAAATCTCATTCCCATGATGAATGACCAGCAAGTATTCATCGAACACAGTCCACAATTTAATTATAGAAACGAAACCTAAACATTTGGAAACCATGGACACATTTAAGACTTAATTATGAGCAAGCCAAATGACACCCGAGCGGAGCTAAGTCTAGAACCAGCAGACTAGACTCTTATTCATCAAACCAGGCTAAGACCAAATCCATTAACTAATTAAACTCAATGTTCATTAATGTTTTGTTTGTTTCGTGAAAAATAAGTAATTTAGAAAATATTTTTTTAAAATATAATCACTTGGAATAATTAGTTAATAGAAAATATTTCCATTGTTGACAACAATTTATTAGCGATACAAGCACATCAACAACCGGAGCTTATCACACCAGAGCACCAAAATATTGAACGTATATGCTTAACAATCAATCTCCTATATATTCACCACAAGACCCATGCCATCGGCTATTACCTTCGACCACCACCATTCGTCAGACGTTACCCCCTTTACTACGACTTACCGAAGCGGACGGAAACTGAGGATATAAAGTAAGACCACCGTGTGGAGATAAACTCAAATGCTTTACAAACGATCGGTGAGTGTGACATCAGCTCCAAAGAAGCTCTCACCAGTAACCATCATTTGCAGGCATTGGAACATAAAACACAAAAACAAAGAACCCACGACCGTGTGCTATTTTTTTGGGTCTTGACCATGCTGCTTGAAGATGGGTTTGATCCTCCGTTGACCTTACATTCAGCTGATGCATTAGTTGCGGGATTCTAACATGCGACGATGATGAAAAGTTGCTTGAAAACGCGACCGTGCACTATTTTTTTTGGGGTCTTGACGAAGCTGCTTGAAAATGGGTTCGATCCGTTGGCCTTACATGCTGATGCATTAGTTGCCGGATTCTAACATGCGACGGTGATGAAAAGTCACGGCACTAGTGATTTTGTAAAAGATATAGCACTAATGGTCTTATGAATTGTTCAAACTCCACAACCGTGCGCTACTCCCCATTCTCTTGATTCTTTATGAGGGTCTCCTCGTATTTGAAAGTGAAGGATTAACCTAGAAATGTAATAGCTAGTACGTAGCTTGACATTATGGTGGTTTTCTGAAGATTCAGGGCAATATGGAGTTAAAGGATGGGACCAAAAGATCCCCATGAAGGCCTGATTGAATGCATCCGCTTGAGGTTCTGGTGCCCCAATTGGTTGTACGGCAGGAATTGGATGCGGAAAGCATCCTGGCGTCGTTTGGGGCCTTAGCATTATATGTAGTGCTCTCGGAGCAATAAATGTGAGTGTCCAAATATAACATATTTACTATCGTCTCGAATGGCCTAAGTTGTGACAGAATGATAGGTTGTATTTGACCATATTGAAAGCTTATCTTTCTTCCAAGTTAGAGATACCTTGCAAAGTCTTAGTTTTATTCCAATGAAGTAATTACTAGCCTTTTAAGAACAGGTAAACGTGATTAGCTCATTAGCAGCTCGAGCCCATATACATTTGTGTTCTGTTTGGATTTGAGGTACCTTTGGAAATTATGGTCATTTAGGTAGGAGAGACACGATAAAAAAAAATGAAGCGCCTTTGTGATTATCTAAATCAATAATAGATCTTAAAAAAATTTAGGCCACACCATACGACACTTGTTGTGATATAATTATTGTTTTTGTGCTAAAGTTTGTAATATAATGATTGATTATGGTTCTCTCTATCCATTTAGGATCAACAAGCTCTTAGATTTATCCGGTAATTTTCCCACTTAAGGGTTAGGTCAAGTTTGGGTGGGTTGATATTGGATCCGACTCAAATTAACCCATATTTTTATAATATAATTTTGGCAACCCATACCCAATCTCACATGAACCCAAGTCATACCCAACTCAATTCAGGCTCCAATTCTTAGCAATTGTCCCCTTTAAATATGGAAACTAACATATTGAAGAAAAAAAAATTGACATCGATTGCTCTTTTTTGCGGTCGTTAGATTCTTCAATCAAAGCAATGCAATGCTACCTACTATTTAATTTATCACCAAAAATGATAAATGCAATAAACTAAAGTTAAGCAAACGCAAAGCTTATAAGTTAAGCAAAAGCAAAGCTTAGAAGTCCTAAAACTTGTTACGAAAGTGTAATTGAGTCATAAAACCTATAAAAGTGCAATCAAGCCCTAAAACTTGTCAAATTGGTTCAATCTAGTCCTAAAATTAACACCGTCCAATTTAGCTAACGAAAAATGTTGATGTAACTTTTTTTTTTCTATCATACGTGGCGATGACGTGGCTTTTTTTATAATTATTTTAATACTAATTTTATTTAAATTAAAATTTAAAAATAAGTTAAAATTGAAAAAAATTTAAAAAAAAAATGAGGAAGAGGAGGACAAACGGGGAGGGCCTCCCCGCCACCACCCCACCATTGCTGGGAGGGGCCAGCAAGGGTGGGGGACGATCGGGATTAGCGTCCCTCGCCGACGGTAGGGGAGGGCCCGCAGGCCCTCGCCCAGCGAGGGTCACCGGCCCCTCCCGACGATGGTGAGGGCTTGCAGCCCTCCTCTCCTGTCCTCCTCCTTTTTTTTTAAAGCTTATTTTTATAATTTAATTTAAATAAAATTCATATTAAAAATCAAATTTAGGGCAAAACAACGTTATTTTAGTCTTATGTTTCATACTTAAGCAACGTTATCGCCACGTAGAAGAGAGAAAATATTAAATAAGCCAAGTCAACGCCACGTCAGCATTTTCCGTTAGTAAGTTTGACGATGTTAACTTTAGGACTCGATTGAACCAATTTGACAAGTTTTAGGACTTGATAACACTTTTTGCAAGTTTTAGGACTCAATTGCACTTTGGTGACAAGTTTTAAGACTTAAGGAAAATAAGTTCTTATTAATGTGTAGATTTCAATGCTGGTCATTAAACTTTGACATAAGCAAAAGTTTACACTTCGTAATCCAACAACAATATCGTTATCCCGGAATAGCGTGCGGGACAATCTCTATTGGAACCATCGAGAGCACTTCAAAATTCCCACATATAATCCCGGCGTACTCTTTTTAATTGGTAAGTTAGAACTGAATTAAAGAGCAGACCTCCACAATCACGTTATGGTCTGTCAAAATGGCTCAAACAAGCGGGCCCAGCTCATTTTTTTAGATTTTAGCTAACCCAACTCGGCCAATTAAAGAGCAGGTCGTTAATCCATTTCGACACCTCTCTCTTTGCTCGAACATGATCATCGGCTGTCGTTTCTGCAAGAACAGAGTCGACCGCGTCAAGATTTGGCTTTCGTGAATGCCGAGTGAGAAGACTACCCTTTTGCGCTTTGAATTGCAAAATGTGCGGCACGGATTAGGATTTGATCGTGTGGAAAGTTAAGAGTGTTCGCACACAACAAGAAAGACCTTGACCTTACATCACTTTCCTCAAAGACTTCCCTGTCAAAGTCTCTGGATTTCATTTGGGGGTGGGACTCCGAGTCAGAACGTAGCTTTTCATAGTCTTCACTAGTTAGTTGTCGTTGTTGCATTCCCATTATCATGGAAAATGATAGGAAGGTGAGAGTTTTCACAACCTTTTTAAGCATCGCTCGTTGCCTCGGGAAAAGAAAACCCAACTTACCTGAAACAAAAGAGAAGAAGAAGAAGAAGAATCCATGGATTCTTCATCAGAATTCAAGAGGGTCATGAGCCTTGTGGCTACCCTTGCCCTTTTCACTATCTTTGTCATTCCGCTTCCTGCTCATGCTTCCCCTGCAGAAGCCCAAGCCCTCCTCAAGTGGAAGTCCAGTCTTGGCAACCATTCGGTTTCTTCCCTCTCTTCCTGGACTCCTTCTCCTCGTAATGCTACCAGTTCCAATTCGACTGTGAGTCCGTGTGCTTGGTATGGCATCTCCTACAATAGGGCCGGAAGCGTGATCAGGATAAATCTCACCAGCACCTATGTCGAAGGTACGCTTGACGAATTCCCATTCTCAACTTTGTCTCATCTCATGTACATGGACCTGAGTGTAAATAGTCTCTCCGGCCACATTCCGCCTCAAATTGGTCTCCTGAGCAATCTCACCTATCTTGACCTCTCTATCAATCGGTTCTCGGGGAAAATACCGCTGGAGATCAGCCGTCTAACGAAACTGGAGGTCCTGCACTTGGTTTCCAATGAGTTAAATGGCTCCATTCCCCAAGAAATTGGGCAGTTGCATTTGCTCAATGAGGTCGCGCTGTATTCGAATCAGTTGGATGGATCCATACCTTCCTCATTGGGTAATTTGAGCAAATTAACTACATTGTATGTCTACAACAACTCCCTTTCTGGTTCTATTCCTCCTGAAATAGGAAATATGACAAATTTGGAAGTGCTCCACATGGACACCAACTTCCTCACAGGACCAATTCCATCCACTTTGGGGAACTTAGCCAAATTGAGAGAGCTGCACCTATTTGCTAATAAGCTTACCGGTTCCGTCCCCCTAGAGTTAGGGAATTCGATCCTTCTTAGCTCTTTGAGCCTTTGTGATAATAATCTTACCGGTTCAATCCCGCCGACATTAGGCAATTTGACGGAGCTTACCCTTCTTTATCTCTACGGTAACCAGCTTTCCGGTCACATTCCTAATGAGATAGGAAATCTCCACGCTATGCTTGACTTAGAGCTGAGTAGAAATCAGCTCACTGGCCCAATTCCTTCTTCTTTGGGTCGCTTGACCAACCTAGTATATTTGTTCCTCCGCCAGAATCAGCTTTCAGGTTCAATTCCTAGATCCTTAGGGGATCTGATGAACTTGACGGAGCTGCAATTGGATGCCAACCATTTAACCGGCTTCTTACCAGAGAACTTGTTCCAAGGTGGATTGCTCCAAACCTTCTCAGTGAGTGACAACAACTTAACTGGTTCTATCCCTAGAAGCTTGAGAAATTGCCCAAGCTTAGTCAGAGTACGCCTCGAGGGAAACCAGCTCACTGGAAACATATCCGAGTCCTTCGGGGTCTACCCCAACTTGAAATTTATCGACATGAGTTTTAACAAGTTCTATGGAGAAATCTCAACAAATTGGGGAAGTTGCATTCGTTTAAGTGATCTAAGAATTGCCGGAAATAACATCACCGGTAGCTTGCCTCCTGAGATTGGAAACGCTACTCAACTGGGTGCAATTGATCTTTCTTTCAATGATTTAGTTGGCGAGGTTCCGAAAGAATTTGGAAAATTGACCTCTTTGGTGAATTTGAATCTAAGCAGGAACCAACTTTCTGGCCATATAAGTCCCAAGATTGTATCGCTACCTGCTCTTCAAAAATTGGATTTGTCCGGGAATAGATTTAGCATGTCTATCCCGCAGACTATAGGGCTTGCTTCAAACTTGGTCCTCTTGGATCTGAGCAACAACCAGTTGAGCCAAGATATTCCAGGGGATTTGGGGATGCTAATTCATTTATTCGAGCTAGACTTGAGTTGTAACTTGTTAAGCGGTGAGATCCCAGCTCAATTCAGCAAGCTGCAAAGCCTAGTGAAACTTGACCTTTCACACAATAATCTTTCTGGCCCTATATACAAGACTTTCGAGGGTATGCTGGGTTTGGCGGAGGTTGACATCTCCTACAACAAGTTTGAGGGTCCAATCCCCAACACCACGGCATTCCAGAATGCAACAAAAGAAGCGTTAGAAGGTAACAGTGGATTGTGTGGATATGTTGAAGGACTTGAGCCCTGTAATCAAGCGGTGGTGGATAGGGAAAACTCTACCGCGGGACGCAGAGTGTTTCTTGTTGTGTTTCCTCTGCTAGGAGCAGTTCTTCTGTTTATTTTCTTTGGAATATTCTTCATTTCCCGTAGAAAGAAGTTCCATCCAACTGCGGAACTAGTACCCGAGACAACTGAAGTCTTTTCTCTATCAAAGTACGATGGAAAGATCTTATATGAAGACATCATTGAAGCCACCGGGGCTTTTGATGAGATTTTCTGTATTGGAAGGGGAGGCTATGGAAGTGTATTCAAAGCCAAATTAAGATCAGGTGATATAGTAGCTGTAAAGAAGCTCCATCAAACAGCTGATAGCGGGCAAACAGATCAAAAGGAATTTTTGAATGAGATTAGGGCATTGACGGAAATTCGACACCGCAATATTGTGAAACTTAAGGGCTTTTGTTCGCATCCACAACACTCATTCTTGGTGTATGAGTACTTGGACAGAGGAAGCTTGTCTACAATCTTGAGCAATGAAGAAGAAGCTAAAAAGTTGGACTGGAACAAGCGGGTGAATATAGTAAAAGGCGTGGCTCATGCTCTATCTTATATGCACCATGATTGTATCCCTCCAATCGTTCATCGAGATATTTCGAGTAACAACATTCTGCTTGATTCGGAGTACGAGGCGCATGTTTCTGACTTCGGCATGGCTAAGCTTCTCAAACTGGACACATCAAACTGGAGTGCAGTCATCGGCACATACGGTTACGTAGCTCCAGGTTAATATCTAAAATTGACTCTTGATCCATCCATTTAGCTAAAGCAACGTCTTCGTGCTAACACATATATCTCCTTCTTTGTGCAGAGCTTGCTTACACAATGAAGGTGACGGAGAAATGTGATGTGTATAGCTTTGGAACAGTGGCCGTCGAGGTGATCAAAGGAAGACATCCGGGGGACAGCGTTTCAACTCTATTAGCTCCAGTCGACATGGAGATCTCAGCAGTTCTGAGGAATATATTGGATTCACGCCTGCCAATGCCCACACCAGGCATCGAGGATGAACTTCTGACCATCTTAAAGCTTGCAGTCGCTTGCCTATCTGCTAATCCCCAACTCAGGCCGTCGATGGAACTGATTTCTCATGAGCTTTCAGCTTGTTCAACCATTTTCCATAATTTTCAAAATTCAGAGACACCCACTGATCCCGGGACAGATGCAACAAGTTCAAGCCGTTCGCTGGATCAATCTGTAGAAGACATCGTCTGATAAACGATTTGCTCTGTCAACCACATGCAAGAAGGTCTAGATCTTTAATGAAAAACACAGTCGTTTTAAACTAATAAATTAAGTCTCAAACTTTTTCTAATATATTGTTTCGCTCACTGATGTGTTAACTTCATTTGCATTTAGGAGAAATATTTTGACCGGACACAAGGTTTCATGTTTAGCCCGATGAGGACTACATTTCGTTCACACCCAAGTAAGTATAGAACTGCCTTTTGTTTTCGAAGGAGTAAAACCTGAACTCACTGGCATCTAGTTTCATTTTTAGAGAGAACAGCTGAACTCGAGATATTTCAGTCTGTTTCTGTATCTAGTCTTAATCAAACTCGTGTCGGCGTGGTGAAAGCTATGTATCCATGTCAAGTTAGAGTTAGAAAATATGACTTTTGTATCAGCATAAAGTTGCTTGTCTATCTAGCGTTGTCATCTTGAAGGTGAAGGGTCGATGTAAAGTCGAAACGGAACATTTATATGAAGTCTCTTAAATCTTGTCCATTGTTAGTCCTTTCATAAGGATCATTTTGGATTTGTGTAGATACAAAATCCTCTGATATGCAGAATAGTTTCAATCATGCATCTTTTCAGAGTGCATTCAATCATAATCTAATTGTTTTAATCGCAGCCATCAACCATAATTTTGTTTGTTATGCGTTGTCAAGCGATGTTGGAGGATATTTCAACACTCTCTCTCACGTGAATGGACATAAGCGAAATAAATAGCTTGGCCCTGATACCATGTTAGAAAACCCAACTCAAAAGCCTAAGTTAATAGGTGCAGGAACAACACAAGAATATAAAGAGCATCTGGAATGCGTTGTCAAGCGATATGGGCCAATATTCCAATATGGTGTTTGGTGTAACTCACTGTTGAGAGAGTGCATTCAATCAGTTCCTACTCCGAGTGCAATGTGCAAGTTGTTATGGCATGGGTATTTATTAGACCTTGCCTCTTAGGTTTATCTAATGTTATTCCAGTAAAATTGATAATCGTACAACTTTTATATAGACTTGTCAAACTGGTAAGTCAGGTTGAGTCCAGTCGAAAATGGATCCGATTCAAATTAATCCATTTAACTCATATAATCCCATATTTATGTAATACAAGTTTAGCGACTCATATCCTATTCCACCTGGACCCAACTCATACTCAATCCAACCAGGTTTTGGTTCCCAGTAATTTTTTCACTTGATTATGGAAAATAGCATACTGAAAGAAATAACCAACTAAAAACAAATGTCCATCATTTTCTTGCGGCCACGAGATTTTATAATCAAAGCAAGGCAATGGTTCTCACTAATTTGATTTATTACAAAAATAATAAATGCAATAAACTAAAGTAAAAATGAATCCCAAAGCTTATAAATAAAAGGAACATAAGTTCTTATAATGTTTAGATTCCAGTGATGGTTATTAAACTTCGATATAATCAAAGTGTAGACATTCATAATCCAACAACGAAATCATTACCCCGTGTTGTATTGGGGCCATCAAGCACTTCAAAAATTACAAAATAATCACAGTGCATGAGCTCAAAAAATATAAATCATTTGACATAATGGTGCATTTATTTCACTGAAAATTTCGCGATAAAGAAAAATATTTATCATCAAAACCATTTTCAAATAAAATAATTAATTATCTTTTGTTTAGTGGTTTACGGAAAGTGATTTCCTCCTTGGTAGAAGAGAAAGTTGTTTTCCCCAATCGAAAAAACTTATTTTCAGTTTATGGAAAAACGTTTTCTGTGCAAGCCATTAATTATCGAAAAAACGTTTTCGATTAGTTTTCCATCATCAAAACACAGGAAAGTCTGAAAACAATTTTCAGTAACAGTTTTCCTTCAAACAAGCGAACCCTAAATCACAATTGCGAATTATTCTTCTACTTGTAAGTACAATAAAACAAAATAGCAAATCCCCACAACCACATTATCGTTTGTCAAAAAGGGCTCGAACAAGCGGGCCAAAGACGATCTTGATTTTTTCTTCTTCTTCAATTTTCCTTTCGATTGATGCGAATTTGCAAGTGGGTGTGGTCCAGACGCATTAGCTCGATTATCAGCTGTAATTTCTGCAGGAATGAGGTCAACCGGAGCAAGATTTGACTTCATTAGAAGACTTCTCTTTTGCGCGCTCAGAACTGCATAATGTGTGAAACGAATTTGGTACTGATCACTCTCCACAACGACTTCTCTGTCAAATTCTCTGGATTTCGAACTATGGTGGGGACCAAATCTCGAAACAGGGACGGATCCGAGTCAGAAAGTCGCCAAGGAAGACTGAATGGAAGAAAGCTCCAAAGTCTTGAAGGAACCAAAAATTCGTCTAAGTCGGCTTTCGGATGCTGACTGCCAAGCTATATCCACTAACTTTTCTTAGTCTTCCTTAAAATAATGATTGTTATTGCATGCCCATTGTAATGGAAGACGATAGGAAGGCGAGTATTCACAAGCATCTTAAGCATCACTCAGTGGTAAGCGATACGGTTCAAGCAATAAATGAGTCGCCAAAATGTTTTATTTTGTCGAAATGGGTCACCAAATTCGGGATCGGTGAATGTTTCTTATCGATTAAGAGATGCCTAAGTAAGTTTAGAAAAGTATTAAGGACTAACTCTCTCTGCTTTTGTTGCCAAAACGTCCTCAAATCCTAGGTCAAAGAGATCATTTAAACGCTTTAGCTAGTCAACATTGCAGCAGTTACAGCCTTAATCTCAGGTAGATATGTCTCCCTTTACTAAATCAACTTCCCGTTTTTAACATGAATAAGTCCCTCTAATCCTAGGTCATAAGATTATCTAAGTTATCAAATGTTGTTGGATCCATTTTGGCCGAGTTGATACCAAAATTTTAATCTTATGATGGGCGATAGCCAAATTCAGACTTAGAGTTGATTTATCACTGATTATTCACCGTAATTGAAAGGAAAAAAGTAAGCCATAAAAACTTAATGCAGCAAGAGAAATTTAAGTATATCATTGAAGAACAAGAGAACTCATATTGCAACATCTGACCATGCAACTTGGGTCCTACGCTACCCAAAATAGGAGAAGCATACATTAATTTCACAATGCCATGGTCCATCATGTAGTTCTGAACTATTTAGTAACCTAAGTAATTGTCCTAAATAACGCACAAATTCAATAAAGACCCGTTTAATCGGAATTTGCTTCCGCGACAAAATATCTTTCATCGAAAGTCATTTTATTTGCGGTGATTTCGAATAGAAAATATCGTAGGTAAACAAGAGAATCGATAACTTTACTTCAAACGGAACCGTATGTACACAAACTGTGCCAAAATTTAATCGACGACAAAACTTGAGAGCGTAAAGATGTAATGCCGGAATTTAATCAATGATGAGGCACTTAGGGACTTCAATAAAGATACTCGCTGGGATTTAATTGACGACACGAATTTGGAAACTACAGCTAAGAAACATGCTGGAATTTAATTGACGACTCGAATCTGGAACTATAACTACAGTGTTGAAATTAAAAGATAACAAGTTTGTTTGTTTGTAAGCAGGGGGCCTCCAGTAGTCGAGTACTCGTATTTTTAGTGCCAATGAAATAAACACTCGAGAGCAGTTCTTCTGCTGTTTTAGCCATGTTTCAACATCTTCGAGAATCTCGATCCATGCTCTCATAATGCCATGATCTTACCTTCGGGTGGTTACTTCTTTAAAATCGCACCTCAATCTTTTGCCTATGTTGAGTTAGCTTTATTCCTCCTCCACAATCTGCTGCTCTTTCTATTGGTGATTTCAAATCAGAATGTTATAACTGTTTCTTGGCCCCTCCCAGACATCCAGTCTTCGTTTGGTGTCTCAATCAGTGACTTATCATTCCTTTCATCAGTATCTTCGCTGACTAGTTATGTTATGACAATTGTTGTCCATATGTTGTCGTATATTAACAGCTGCTTCATGGTCATCGATGTATATTAAAATTAACAACTCTTTTGATCGCCAACAACAACTCATGTATCTAGTGTCGATAACTATTTGTCTTCTACTTGCATTTTTGCTCATGTCGACAACCCGATTAAATTTTGGTGCAAACAAGACCTAAATGTATTCTCTCTCCCAAACGCACTTCCTAACCCAACCAAGGCAATCCAAAAGCCATCACGTAAACCGGCAACGTTGTTGCCAGTGCGGGGCGCTGGAGCAGGCGCTTCCACCGACGCCGAGGTGACGCCCTTGGACCAGTGCTTTTCGGACATGACCACAACCTCGAGCCTCTATCCCTTCTGGCAGTGTCCCTCGGCTCCACTAACGAAGTAGCATGGTCCCGAGAGCTCCAATTTCATAATTGAGGGTATGAGAAGTGCTTTTTTCCGACACTCATTAACAAAATCCTATATACTACTTTTTTTTTATCAAGTTGAAAAATCAATGATTTTAAGTCAATAAGGGCCAGATTTGGGATTTAAGTGAAAGTTGGTGCTTTTTTACGAGACAAAAAAAAGTTCGGGCCAGAATTGTCCCTCGACCTAAAGTTGGTGCTTTTTTACGGGACAAAAAAAAGTTTGGGCCATAATTGTCCCTCGACCTAAAGTTGATGCTTTTTTATGGAACAAAAAAAAGTTCGGGCCAAAATTATCCCTCAACCTAAAGTTGGTGCTTTTTTTTGGAATTAAGCCATGTATCTAATAATACAGAGACTCTATATATACGGTACAACAATATCCATGAACGTGCTTTTGATCTGATTTTGCATGAAAATAGCAGATTTTCATGAGGTAACGTGACGCTTCTTTTCTCTGTTTCCAAAACTATCCCAAGAGATCGCGTTAATACCGAGTTTGTTAACCTAGAGAACATCACAGTATCTAAAAACAAGGGGGCATTCAATATCAGCAAGAAAAGGAGGAGAAAAGCAGAGACTCTTTCCTGGATCCAAGACGATGCATATGAACCTTTCCGTCAAGGGGTCCTGCCAAGTGTCATTCATGTACAGCTTCGGTTGCTCCATACCAAGGGGCCTAAACGGCTATATAGAGGCCAGAAACCCTAGTAATATCAAGTCTCTTTGCCGCACTGCGTTAGCACATCTGATCCCTTTCTTCTCCAACTCAACTCAAGCATCGTCAGTTCTCTCATTTGTGCAGCAATGGCTCATCTGAAAGTATTTACGTTGCCAGTTTTGATCTCCATGGTGATCTTCTCAAGCATCAATGCAGAAGCAAGGCAATTTGTGGTTGGTGGCAAAGAGAATTCATGGGAAGTTCCATCGTGTCCTTCGCAGCTCAATCAGTGGGCTCAGAGTAACCGGTTCCAAGTTGGAGATATTCTGAGTATGTATCATCTGATCTCTGTGTATAATTCTTGATCTATTCTTGTTTTTTTTTTCTCACATATCGGCTTTTCGTTATATATGGTAGATAATGGTAATTATATATTCTTTATGAATATTATTGTGTTTTTTGTTGGTCTAACATTTTGTAACTCTAACAAGGTAAGCAGAGAAGGACACAGTTTAGTTTTTCAGCTTTTTTATCCTTTCAATTGAATTTCCCGGACATTTTAATTAGGAGTAAGGATAGAATCCAGAATTGATTAATTACACTTCGCCCACAAAACCTCTTGTCAAGTTTTATAAGACAAAAAGATTGAGATGCTTCTACATGGACACACCCAAATACATATATCAGGAACAGGATATGGTTATGATACCTCAACATCTGACAACAAGCACAAGATTTTCTTTCCAAATTTCTCAACTTAATTTCTTCTCTCCTATATTTAGCTTATATTAATTATACACTCGATTAACCTAAATGTCCTGAAATCTCTATCTTGCGCAGTATTCAAATATGATAAAAATGCTGATTCGGTGTTGGAAGCAACGAAGGAGGATTATGCGGGTTGCAACACCGCAAAGCCGCTCAAAGAGTACAAGGATGGTGACACAAAGTTGAAATTGGAGCGCTCGGGACCATACTACTTCATTAGTGGAGCCGAGGGACATTGCCAGAAGGGACAGAAGCTCGAGGTTGTGGTCATGTCCGAAAAGCACTCACCCAAGGGCGCCCCCTCTGCGCCGACGGAAGTGCCTGCTCCAGCGCCACGCGCTGGCAACGGCGCCGCTGGTTTACGTGATGGCTTTTGGACTGTCTTGGTCGGGCTGGGAAGTTTGACAGTGGGGCTGCTTATGGCTTGAGAAATAGTGTGTTCAGGGGAGAGAATACATCTAGGTCTTTATTGAACTTTTGTGTTATCTGGGGTAATTACTTAGGTTACTGCATATTTCTGAACTGCATGAAGGACCATAGTATTGTCAAATTAATGTATGCTTCTCCTATTTTGGGTAGTATAGGACCCAATTTGCATGGTTAGATGTTCCAATATGAGTTTTCTTGTTCTTCAATGATATACTTAAGTTTCCCTTGCTGCATTATGGTTTTATGCCTTATTTTTTTTCCTTCCAATTACGGCAAATAATCAGAGATAAATCGACTCTAAGTCCGAATTTGGCGACAAGATTCAAAATTTTAGAACCAACTCGGTCACCTCGGATGTAATAACACTAATATCTTAATTTATCTTATGACCTAGGATTAGAGGATTCATTGACATAAAAAAAAACGTTAAATTGATTTAAGTAGAGGGAGACATATCTACCTGAATAAAGGCTGTAACTGCTACAAGGTTAACTAGCTAATGCGGTTTAAATGATCTCTTTGACCAAGGGTTTGAGGATGTTTTGGCAACAAAAGCAGAGAGAGAAAGTCTTTAATTCTTCTTTAAACTTAATTAGGTATCTCTTAATCGATAAGAAACATTCACTGTTCCCGAATTTGGTGACTCATTTATTGCTTGAACCATATCGCTTACCTTTTCTTATCGGTTCATACACATCAATTAATTTAAGGTTTCCATTAAGGACGCGGTTGAACCACCAGTTTGACGGGCAAAACTTATGGACTTTTATGAGGAAAAAGAAAACTGTCATTTAGTTTAATTGTATAATGTGCAACTCTCTTGCTCCAAAAGCCCTTTGTAATATGTAACGATCCGGTCTGATGAGGGCGGGGAGTGGTCGCCGGGGCTAAAGGTCTTGGACAAAGAGGAACTCCTGGTAGGCTTTTAAGATGACAAAGAGGCAAGAAGGAATTGAACTATACCCCGAACAGGGGAAGAGCGATTTTGAGATATGTATGTGAAAACTGAAATTAAGCTACGGAGGCACATTTTAACGTAACGGCAAGTTTTGTTTTGGAATTCCAAAGTTAAGCGAGCCCAGGTTAGAGTATTACCTAGATGGGTGACCTCTTGGGAAAGTGTCTACCTATACGCCAAAGGACAAAACCGTGACGCTCGGTATGGAACGGGCCAAAACGGACAATACCTCGAGTGAGTTAATACATGGATATCACATGATAAGCATTATGTTTTGCTTATCTTGATCCTTCACATGTCATCCTCAGCTAACACAATCTAGTTGGGTTTTCTTTGATTCAATTTGGTGTGTAAGCAATAGGTGTAAGTAATATATTACTTGAAAAATATACTTTTATATCTAAATTAGAATAAATTATACTATTATCAGTCTTCAAATTGCCTTTGAAAGGCTCTTCTACTTTTTGAGGAAGGACATTGATCTAATTGGTCAAGAGATATAACACTCTAGGCGCTAGAATTGCTATCCATCTTATCTGAAAAAGAGGAATTGTTGATTAGGGTTTTTCAACAGCTTGTGAGAGAAAAATCAGAAAAGGAAAACATGACTACGCGCATCTATTGTAAGATCACAACGTTACATACATAATTAAGATCCATTACTTGAACCAACCGAAAAAAAAAAAAAAGGAATTGAAATCCCATTATACAACATCCAGCAACACAAAACTACAATGAGGCGATAGCTGTAAGCCATGATAAACAAGGACACTTGTGCTCTGACTAGGGGTGAGCAAGATGGACCGCCCAAATCAGGATCGGACCGGACCGACCGATTTGGTCCGGTTCTCGGGAATAGTCGTCCGGTGTGGAACCAGTTTTCGGGCGGTCTGATTCTCGGTTCTAGGGTAGGAACCGGACCGACCAGACCAGATTGATCCAATAAATATATATATTTTTTTAATTTTTTCATATATATATTTATTACTTTTTAAAAATTTGAAAAAAAAATAGATAGCCCAATCTAATTTCCTCAATTCCCTCTTGCCTTTACCAATAAGTGATTGGTCCCATTAGAACTGGACCGGAGTGGACCTCCGGTTCGGTCCACGGTCCCAAGACTAGCCGGTCCGGTCCCCGATCCTAGAAACTAGGAACCGGTCCTCTCGATCCGGTTCCCGGTTCTTGGGTTGGACCGGACTGGACCGGGAACCGCTCACCCCTAGCTCTGACCCAGTAAAAAGAAGTTCGGCAGAAGAATTGGGTCTTGACTATGAGCACACAGGACACAAAACCATGACACATAGTAGACTTGTTTTTACACACACATGATACACTTTGTAGATTGCAAATACACAACATCAGGCACAGACGATGATAGCATCATCACTCAGTTGTGACACCCTTTAGAGAAGTAGCGGCGTGGAATCATGAGCTGGTCGAAGCTGCTAACAGCGACGGATGAAGAAGGGAGGACATATAGGACGTGGCACGCATATTGGGTAAAACACCGGAGGAGGCGGGGGCGGTGGAGGTGGCGGTGGGCAATATGGTTGTGGTGGGCATGGTGGCGGCAGGCACTGGCCATGGCCACCATAACCACCATGACCGTGATTGTGACCATAGCATCCGTGACCATGATGGCCGTGATGATGACCGTGGTGGCCGCCGTGATGTTGTCCGTGTCCCATAGTTGATTTGCTGATTGTTGCTGAAGTTTCTCTCTGTGTGATTTATGTTTAGAGATGTATCGTGGTAGTTCACGAAATGATGGTCTTATTTATACACAGGAATGGCCTCTGCAAGTCTTGGTCAGTGGCATCGTTTTCCTAGGAAGGTCGATTGGAATAATCAACCATAATTTATTATTTGGTTTTCCCACCGACGATTTTGCTCGGAGATAACCCTCAATAATGGTTTAATAATGATTAGAACATCCATATATAAAATGTTTACAGTTAACCAGGTAATAAGAAACATGAAAAAAGCATGTGGATCCATCATATATTATTCTTAAAACAGCAGTATCCATATTTACATCTTAATTCTCCTTTTGCTTTCTGTTTTGTAGCCATCACAATGATTCCCAGCTTTATTATGTATTAGCAAGATGTTTGTGCGTTGTACGAATCTAACACTATATTTGTTACGTTACTCTAAATGCTGTTGTCAATGTGAATTTTCGCAAGAGAAATTACCATACAGAAAAATGTACCGAAATAAATATTCACACCAATCAATTTCTCTGCCAAGGTTCATGTGGAGTTTAATTCAAAGTGGAATCAAACCCCAATCATGTACATTAGAGATTTATTACCGAAACATGCATAGAAATCGATTAGAGATCCGGTTTATCCGTAATAATAGATAACAAAATTAGAGATTTGTTGGGATAAGAGATTTGTAGAGTGATCATAAAAAATAAATTACTAAGTAAAATTCATCAAATCTGATTTCCCACATGTTATTAAATAATAGTTTAGTTTACCAATTAATCACTTCTCCATGGATGATCTGTTGGGATTTTGGCATTCAAATCCCATAGAATTGAATGAAAAGTGTGTGGATGAAAGTGTTCCACATTGAATAGAAGAGAGATGGGAGATGGGTTCAAATAGTTGAGCCTCACAAATGGATTTGGGCCCCAAGGGGTACCCCACTTTTGTGAAAGGGAGAGGACCTGCGCTAAGCTAGGTCGGTTTCCCCCCCCCCCCCCCCCCCACGCACGCCCGTCCGGCCGGCCGGCTCGATTCAGGTCCATTCTCTATCGGTTTTTATTTTTTCCGAACAAACAAGTTGTTAGAAATTAATTATTTATTTATTTTTTGGACAAACAAACATGTCTGTTCGTGAGAAACCGAAGCCCTTCGCGACTGTTCACTAACCGAACCGGTTGTGAACCTTCGCTACTGTTCACGAAAAGCAAGTCTTCATTACTCGCAACTCTTCATTTTCGCCACTTTAATATGACCAAACAGTTTAGTTCGGAATAGTGTGACACTTTGTAGAATTCATATTCCCGCGAGACATTTTCCCGACGCACTTTAGACATTTTTCACTTCATCATTTCGTGCGATTATTCTGCGAAATTACGTTCGAAGGGGTCCTCTGAATACGTACCGCTTCGGAGGAATGAGATCCGTTCTATCATGGGAGACGATTGTCCAATATCCTCGGGTACTGATTGAGGGGCCAAATTCGTCTTAAGGACACGACGTTACTTCGTTGGGCTCGGATCAACATTCTGTTTATTTATTTGTACTGCTTTCAGGTTAGTTTTTCTAACGTTTGGTTTCAATTTCTTGTGTACGAACTTAGCCGACAACATGATCTAGATCTACCAAGATTGACACTGCATCCTAACGCTGACTCGTGAAGTTTAAAATATGGTTAGGGACTATACTGACGTCCTTCTTTCTTTCTTCGCTTGTTTACTTTTGGATAAGACATATTTATCTTGAACCCTATCAATTGCATCGTGTCGATGGGTTGTTTCGGTTCGATTCCCACCAATACTTGAACTGACCCAAACAAGAATAATATATACAGTTTATGACCCAATCCAATACTCAACCCGTACTGGACCCGAACTTCGGTTCGGATTTCGGTATTTCTTTTCTTTTTTTTCCTTCTTCTTCTTCGTCCCTTCACATCCCTCTGTTCACAGGCTCACAGCAAAACATAAAATTAAAACATTCCCCTGTGTTATAAATGCAATCAAATCATTTTCTGCTCCCGTGTGCGAATCAAACTATTACAACAGCTTTCGTCGTCATCCGGATGAGATAGGACTTTGGGTTTCTCTCAAATTTGACCCCCAACGAATTTGCTTTTGTCGCCACTCACCATTTTTCTTGTGTGAATTTGCTTTGCATATTAATTTCTGCAATTATTGCATTTAAATTTGTTGACAAATAGTATCGATGCTATAGCTTTGTCACCGAGTACATTGAACTCAAATTCAACGAAACTGTTTTTGTTGCCACTCGCCAATTAATTATATATATAACATAGGTTTCATATTCACCTTACATATATTTAACATTATTAGATCTAGGTTTTCCAAACACCATAAAAAAAGGTTAGATTAAAATATTCGACATGGCGTGATATAACCCTAAAGTCATTTTCTATATAAAAAAAAAAATTTAAAGCTATCGGTTATATACAAGTAGAGATATTACAAATATCACATAACATGACTGACTTAGTTATGTATCTGCATCAATCAATACATTTAAATAGATTCTGATCGCCACACTCATCATATCGC